GTATCAACAGTTTATTTTATATTAAGATTACATCCACCAATGATAAATTTTGGTAGGGTTTACAGTTCCTTTAAGATAGCCTCATTGTAGAAGTCTAGAGAGAAGACACATCCTTGTCTTATGCTTCTTTCTATCTTTGTGTAGCTATTCAGTTCATTTTTTATCTGTATGCAGGAAGTTTGCTTCCTGTATACATTCTGGATTATTCTAGCAACCTTTTCATATAGGTCTAGTTTTCCTGGTAGTTCAAATAGATCCTTGTGTCATACCTTGTCAAATGCTTTTGAGTAAGACATAAGTGCACATCCTTCTGAATTTGTGTTGTTCTCTCCAATATCATTCTGATCATAAATATTGCATTTCTTGTTCCAGAGTCTTTGAGAAACCACACTGTTCTTGCCTTATTTTGAGTTTAATTCTGCTTCACACTCTAGTCATCATTGACTTGCTTATGTGGCTCATTAAGCTGATTGTTTGCACTTGCTTATGTGGCTCATTAAGCTGATTCATTTGCACTTGGTTTCTTTGGTATTGCTACTAAGGTAGATCTACTGAGGTACTTCAGTATGTTGTCATTCATATATTTTGTTTTTTTACTTCTGTGATCTTGGCAATGCCAAAATCCTCTAAAACTGGGAGCATTTCTGTTACAATCACATCAAGACCAACTGCTTTGTTCTAATTCATCTTATTTAGTGTCAATCTTACTTCAGACCAATATTACTGGCCCTTTTATATTTTTGTGTGTTGTAGGTTTCTCTCTCACATTGTGAAATAGTTCTCTGATGTATTTGCTCCATTTTGGGAGTATTTTTCTTTTCTCTATTATGAATGTTCCTTTGTTTTATTTTATACAGTCTGTTGATGAGCTCACCTTTTGTCCTGTTCTTTTATTTTGCTTTATCTGTGTTGCTTACCCTTTCTATTTCTGCACACTTTTCATTGAACTACTGTTTAGCTTATGTGCTTCTGTCACACATTTCAAAAAAATGCTTTTATATAAATTTTTGAAAAGTTTTAATGCTTAAAAATGTCAAAGTTGACATTAAAAATGAATCATAAGTTACAGAAAAATATTGTTTTTAAATATGGTCAAATTTATTGAAAAAATTTAAGAAGAAGAACTCACATTATTTTATAGCCCCTCTCATTTCATTTCAAAGTTATGAAAAAAACCTAAATGCTGAGTCTGCACTGTAAACTTAATGTAATCATCAAAATATTGTTGTTATGAAATGGATGGTTCAGATTTTTAATTTTTTTTTTTAAAGAATTTTTCCAAAAACAGATTTGTTTCATTTTTTCATAATTATATAACTATAATGTATTATTATAAATATATAAACATTTAAATTATAAATATATAATTTATTAACTAGAGGATTTGTTTTGTTAATAGGTGTTGATAGGCTCACCTATTGTCCAGCCCAAACTCCTTCCATATCTTTGAATAGAGAGAGGTTCATCCCTTGCTCTGATCAATCAGTTCTCTTTCTTTCTTTCATAATATCATAATGTTTTGGTGATTGGTCTCACTATTTGTGACTTTCTATTGTGAGGGTGCTCATGTCTTGCAGCTTTGGGTAGGTGTCCCTTTAGCATGTTTTTCAGCAGTTGCATAATATCATATTTGTAGTGTTATGCAACCCTGTCCCTACATGTAGGCAACCCTGAGGCAACACTATACTCTGTTCTCAGCCACGCTCTGGCTGGTTTGTATTACCATTGATGACAGTGTCAGTTATAGTGGTCTTTTCTCTCTCTCTCTTTAAAAAATTTTTCATGGAAAACAACAAAAAAAAAAATACAACTAAACCAAAAAACAAAAAAAAAAAAAACTACATCCACTCAACCTTTTCTTTCACTAATATTTGTGGTATTCGTTCCAACTTTTGCAGCATAGAATCTTTCCTCTTGGAATGGTCACCAGATATTTTTGCCCTCTGTGAAACTAACTTAAATACTTTTATTGCTACTAATGAATTCTTGGTTCCAGGATATCTTCCTCTTTGTCAAAAAGATTCCAGCATTCATGTACCTGGCTTTGGTGTTTACATCTGGGGTAATCTTCCAATGGTCAGGGAATTGTCTCTTGAGGCTCCATACTACTCCTTCATGTGCTTCCATCTTATTAAATTCTGTTAACTATCTCTTTTTCCTTTATCATTCCCCTTCTTCCCAGGACTGCAGTATATTAGACAATTGCTGACAATATAGAAAAGGCACCTTCCCTCCACCCATCTGCGAATATCTTTGTCTTTGGTGATTTTAATGCTCACCACAACACATAGCTTAAACATTCTAAAGGTACTGATGTTGCTGGTATTCAAACATTAAATTTTCCCATTGCCTAATCCCTTACTCAAATCATGGACTTTCCTACTTGTTTTTCTAGCAAAACTGAGCAACATGCTTCTCTATTTGATTTATTTCTTTGCCTCCTCTCATGCTCTTGCCAAGCTTTTTTAACACTGCCCTCTTGGTAATTCTGACCACTCTGTGATAGCTATAGATATTTCATTCCAATACTCTAATAAACAGGAGCCTCCCTATCCACAAGACCTCTTTCCATTACTAGCTTTGCGAATCACTCCATGATTTTCTGTATGATGCCCCTTGGACTGACATCTTTAAACTCCCAATTGAAAATTGCGCCACTGAGGTTTCTTCTTGGGTCAAAGTCAGCATGAATGCTTTCATCCCTTCTCAGAAATACCAGGTGAAACCTCAATCCTCAATGGTTCACACCACCATGTTCGGTTGCTATAGCACGCAGGAACCATATATTTGGCTATACCAGCATAACAGCTCTCATCATAACAGGTGTCTATTTGTTGCTGCTCGCAATAAATGTAAACGAGTCCTTGCAGGAGCAAAGTCCTTGTTTGCTGAGAGAATGAGGCACTGCATAGCTTCTAACAACTTTTGCTCTCATGATTACTGGCAGCTCTGTAATAGAGCATTAAATAAGTGTACGGTCTCTATTCCTCCTCTCTTCAATTTGAGGTGTTATCATCCTCTGCTGATAAAGCTGAATGCTTTGCCCATAAATTCTCCTCAAACTCTACTCTTGACTCATCTAGAATATCCCTGCCTAACTTCCCCCCTAGAACTGAGTCTCTGTTGAGTGATATGCATATAACCCCTTCCATAATTTCTGCTGTCATCTCTAACCTGGATCCCCACAAAGCATAGAAACTCAATGGCATCCCTGTAATAGTCATTAAGAAGTGTGCTCCTGAACTGGCTCTTGTTCTCTCAAAACTGTATAATAAATGCCTCGCTGCCTCTCCTTTTTCCTGCCTGCTGGAAGTCATCATCTGTTGTTCCAGTTTTTAGAACTCTGGTGAACCATCCGAACCTTCCAACTATCAGCCTATTAGCCTTCTACCTTTTTTGGGGAAATTCCACTAGAGGCCCTAATCAATGCTGAATTGGTTCATCATCTCTCTCATCGCAGGGCCTTTTTCAGACAAGCAATATGGCTTTCATTTCTCCAGGTCAACTGCTGATGTACTGACGATAATTGCAGAAAAAAATCTATCATGCTCTAGATAAAAAATGGCTAATGAAGCCCAGGCTGTTGTGCATTGGACATCTCAAAAGCCTTTGACAGGGTTTGGCATTCAGGTCTTCTCCACAAGCTGAAAAGTTATGGTGTCTCCCTGAGACACTTTTTTTGAACTGATCCAGTCTTTTTGAATGAGCTCTATCAAATCATGAAATGAAAGTTATCCTGAACGGCCACTCATCTAGATCCTTTTTTTTTTAATAATGCAGGTGTCCCCCAGGGCTCCATCCTTGGTCCTACTCTGTTTTTAATTTTCATTAATGACCTTCCCTGATGACATCAGCTCTCAACTTGGTATCTACGCTGATGACACAACAATTTACTCCTGCCTTGATATAGTAAGGCTTATCAGTCTGACAAGGTCAAAATGGCAGCTGATGTCCAAAACGACCTCAAGTCTGTTGTTAACTGGGGCAAAAGATGGCTTGTTAATTTTAACGCCTCCAAAAAATGGTAAACTTCTTATCCATTAATCATCTGAGAGATATGTAATGTCCAATTTCCTTCCATCAGCATGGCTGATGCTAACCTCCAGGAAAGTGACTCATTGCGCCTTCTCAGGCTAATATTGTTTAGCTGACATGAATGTGGAAAGACTATATTGAATCCATTGCTAGTGCTAAGAAAGTTTTCAGTTCACTGTGTCATTGGCAGACAATTTTTCTCTCCAGAATCTATCTTACATATCTATAAGTCTACCATTCATCCATGCTTAGAATATTGCTTTTATGCCAAGATTTTATAACATATGGTCCAGGTGTCTCTGCTATTTATTCTTGAGCTCCTTGAGTCTATATGTTCAGATTTGATGAAGTTTTCTTAACCATTGATTTAAATAATTATAGAAACCATCTTGAAAAATATCTGCTACATAACCTTCATTCCCAAATATAATTTTAAACAAAGTTTACTGTAAATCATCTCAAGTGTCTATAAAATTCAGAAAATAAAAAATAAAAGTTAATATTTTTATAAATAAAGCTAATATTTTTTATATTAATATTATAAATTGGGGATAAATAAAAAAAAAAAAAAAAAAAAAAGTGATTAAAAAAAATGATGACATTCTTACTATTTTATATGGTACAAAATAGCCAGTTCATTCAATCCAATAAAAACATATATTCATAGTTGAAAAATTTAATAGACTTCAATCATTTTTCCATTTCAATTCACAAACAATTTATGAACCAAAGTTAATGTAATAAACTTCATGTGTGTGAATTTGATTAAAACATTCTTATCATGAATTTGTTTCTTTACCTGCATAAATATTCTTTGAAGCTATAACACTGTCATGAAATTAGTCTATTTATTGCTGATAAAGATTTTCAAATTTTTTTAAAATTGTAGGTCAAATTACATAGATACTACCTGGGTCTCCTTGCATTCTTCACATGGTATTGAGGTTCCAGTACATAAACTTTTCATGCGATACACAGGTAAAATAAATTTTTATTCTCCATTTTTAATATTATTTACCAAAATGATGATTTTTAACTTCATTTTTTTTGTCTATGTATTTTTTCATTATTCATTAGTGTGAAAATATTGTTTTGTCAAAAAGGAAATGATTACAAACAAAAACTTGTGTTTAGTGAAGTAGAATTTTAATGTATTTATTAATTTGAATCTTTTCCAACTGGCTTTTGCCAGCCTGCCTGGCAATGATTTTACAAAATGTTACTGATTTCTAAATTATATACTACTTTAAGATTCTAGTAAAATGCTTATCAGAACAGTAAGCAAAGAAAAAATAAGCCTTAATTAAAACTAATTTTATTTTTTAATATAATGTGGAGATTCTGCTTAGTAAATTGCCAAAATATTGCAATCTGGAAAATGTGACTTTTGAAGTTATCTTGCAAAAATTATTTTTCTCTAATTTCATAAAGGCTTTTAATAAATTAACTATCATTTTGAATGATTATTGCTAAAGCAGTCTTACCCTCAGAAAACATTCATAGTAAGCTGCTTATTTTTGGAAATTGATATGTATATGTTTGTTCCAAAGCAATAATTGGAGATAACAATAGACAGAAAAATAGGAAGTAGAGAAGTTGAGGATTACAAATAAAGATGTCGATAGAAAACAGGAAGACTGTTTTAACATAAATTATTGTGATGCTGAACAACAACTTATGTTGCAACCATTGATTATAAGTACAATGTTTTAAAACTGGTCTTGTTTGCAAAACATGTTGTTTCGTATGTGTATGTATCTGCATGCTTGATAAGTTTCAACCAGATCAATTTGTAAACAACACAGAAAAAGAAATCAGATTGGATTTTAAATCAACAGCATATAAGCATAATGTTCCATGATTTGCAGTTGTGCTGTTCTTTTAAAAAATATTTTAAATATCTTTTATTTTTTCATTTTTTGTGTTAGAGATATGTAAAATGTTTAAGCATTGAGTTCACACTCAACTATCTTGATGTGCTTTCACAAATATTTTTAGCCATGTAGAGACTAGAAATGTAATGAATGATAATAGGCTATTACTATAACAAAAATTAATTTATTGAAGTTATATCAAACATTACTTTTATTCACATCTTTAATATCAGATGTGCTTTATTTTTTTTAAATTTCATGCATTATTTCCTTTTTCATGTTTATTACCTGAAAAATAATTTTGAAATTTGCTGTTGAAATATCAATTTGTTTACCTGTATATTTTTTGTTTAGAGGAAATACATTAGAGATTTCTACCTACCAAGCATTCATTTGAAATTTCAGTCACAATTATTTGTCTAAATTATTACATCAAATGAATACTTATATTACTGTAGTATTTTAATGTTTCATATATTTTATCTTTCAGTGTTCATAGCAGATCTTCTTATCTACATACCTGCCCTATGTCTATATATTTACATCAGTAATAAGTGTGAAAATAGCAAAATTGTAAGTAATTTTTCACTTTGATTTCTCTAAATTATTAAAATTACTTGGTCTAATGTACTTTGTCAAAAACATTGTAATCTTATAATAATAAATAACTACAAAAAGTTCTTCAGTTATCATAAATCATATCATTTTAAAGATTATCACAGATAGTCTTTTAGTATAATCTCATGAAAATAAGGATATTAAAATTGAAGATAATTTCAATGATTGCTATTAACCACTTGAGCTTTTCTTTTTTTTCTCTCTACAATACTCTTGGCTGTTTCCAGCTGCTGACATCTCTGAGCATTTTGTTATATCCAGGACTCATGCTTATTGACCATGGACATTTCCAGTATCCTTCTTAGACATGACTAATGTAGATGTCATATGTTAATAATATAAATCTCTCAGTAGTTTTAGTCTATGCTAATAAAATCATGAAGCCTGTTTACTTGGTTCCATCTTTTTATACTAATATAAATGTTTGTGTAGCATCAGTTTTTTCCAGTTTTAGTTTAGTTTTGAAATTACTATACTTTCCTATTTACAATCCTTTTAACATTTTTGTTAACTATACTCCCAAGGATTGAATTCATCATCCTTTGTTTCTTTTTTTGCTATGTTCACTGCGGATTGAAGTCACTACAGTTGCTTGAAATCTAAAAAGTATCTAATAAATAAATTTGGCGAAAACAAAAAAAACGTTGATTTCAAATCAACTTTTTTTTTCAAGTATCTATCTGAAGAGGTTAAGCATGCATGCATGTACAAGAATTGTCCTTCCAAAAACTTTTTCCACTGCATTCACCTGAGTATCACTGAGAGCATCCAACATTGGCTACACATTAAGCAACCTGAAACATTCACACACTCTCTCTCTCTCAAGCACATATATATATACACACTGTTGCCAAGTAGAGTTCATTTATAATGAAAATTATCTTTAAAAATAACTGAAATTAACAAGGTTTTTCAATTTTAATTAACTTTATAACTAACAAGGTTAACATGAACTTGATGAATAATTTATGGTAGTGTTTATCTAACTTTGTTCAGTAAAAATAAAAACTCAGTTTGTTATGGCCCAAGTAGTTTGTTGAAACTGTTATTCATTAAATTGAGAGATATTAAACTGAGGTTTTACTAGAGATGCTTAAATTTTTAAGGCCTGCTGTGATTGATCAGCACTATTGGATAAAAGTAAAAACTAGAATTTGAAACAGATTTTCCAATCAGGTTTTCACTAATTTCTATTTTAGCTTTGTTCCAGATGAAGTTAAGCTTAATAAACACTTATATTTTGATATATAAATTTTTACAATGAAAACATACCTCATCTTCCTGCTATTAAATTATTTGTTTATATTTGCTTAATTTTCTTAATAGAATAATTTGATTCCTTAACCTCTTGCATGTATAATTGTGTAAGCCTTGGCCTGGCACTTTGGGGTATACTGGCTCTGTTCTCTGATCATGATATTTTGGGATCTGTAGCTTTTACCCTATCTTTATGTTACAAGCAGATGGAACTCTACCATGCCTGGCCTTTCTTTTGTTATCTCCTTGGTAAATGTTACCACAACAAGAAAAATAGGTTTGTATTTTTTTTTTTTAGAATATTTCTGTTTATTTCTCATTATATTTACAGGGTATATTGTATTTGTTCAAATTATACAATCCATAATCATTTTTCTTACTATAAATCTGTATTATAAATAGAATTAATTCACATTTGTTTGCTGTTACAAATGAGCAATAAAACGGAAGTTAATGATAAAAGTTTCTCAGTAAATACACTCCACCATTTCTAAACATTTGATATAACAAAAATATAAAAAGACTATAAAATTAGAGATACCATTGATTGAACTTTGGTGGTTTTTCTCTATTACTGGGTAGGAATTTCTTTGTATTGTGTTTCATTAAATCATCTGGGTAAGATGGTTCACATAAGTTGGAAATGAATGAACCAAGTATATTGTATTTAAGAAATCATTGACTTGTTTCTTCAAGAAAATCAAACAGGAATTCAACACATTAGCTCAGAAGGAAGTTCATCAGCCTTTTAATGAACTCAGTTTAAAATGGAAACAATAGACTAAAACACTTGCAAAGTATCTTCCATATAAAAGTAATTACTAGAACTTTTATTGCTTTGAATGTGTAAATGCACTTGTGACTGGATGTGCTTACATTACAGGTTATTGAAATTGATCAACATTGCTCTCAGTGTCATTGCCACATTTGCTGTTTGCTTCTCCCCATTTTTGCAAAGGAAAGAGGACATTTTACAAGTATTTCATCGGTTATTCCCTTTTGCCAGAGGATTGTATGAGGTAAGTGTCATGGGTTTTGGAACATTTCAAATAGCAAACATATATTCAGCATATTCAAATTTACTTGTCTAACTCCAAGTAAAACCATAAACAAAAGGCCAACTTATTTATTTCAAATGTATTTGATTATTATATTCACATAAGCATCTTTGTTACTTTTATTATTCAGTATTTTGATTCATTTAGTCTATGAAAAGAAAAATCAAACCCAGTATTGTGTTCTGATGTCTATAAAAGATATGCTACTCTGAATATTATCATTGTCTGTTTTTGGTCTACACTGCGTGCCAAATTATTATAGAGATAATGTTTTTTCTAATATTTCAAAAACCGTCCAATCAATTCACACAAAATTTCAACACAATGTTGGCAACACTCACCTGTGCAATCACTGAAATTTTCGACCTGTGCAATGTAAACAAACTGGCGCCATATTTGTTATCAGCATGGTGATTTGAGCGTGCCAAATTATTAGAAAGGTTTAGTAAAATTCCCAGAATTGAGCAAACAAAACATTTATTAATGTTGTACGTGAATGTTTATGATCAAAAGAAGCTAATCAAACAAATAATAACAGATACAAACAAAGGCACAGTTTTAAACAAATTAATAGGGAATGTGCTTTCTCTGTTTTGAAATTACTTGAAGTTGATGATCCATAGAATTTGTTAATTGTAGGATGTCATCTGCTGCAATGCCGCGAGATATGTCAAGTATTGCTTCCCGCAACTCAGCGTTGCTCCTGAATTGTCATCCGACGGTGTACAGTCTTCACTTCAGGATGCTCCAAAGGTTTTTGATTGGGTTCAAATCCTGAGAATTTGCTGGCCACTTCATTTTTTTTTTCCATCGAAGCCCTAACTGTTTCAAATATTCAACATAGTCTTGTGAGCAGCATGTGAGGGAGGGAGCATTATCTTGCATAAAAAACAATGGTCATTCTGAAGGCAACTCTTTGCCTTTTCATCCACATGTTCAAGATGCAGTCCTTCATAAACACTAATGTTTTTTCCAATAATACCATCCCAGATCATTATGCCTCCACCGCCTTGTTGGCGTCTCAAACGCTGATGGCGATTCTGTCCATTCATTACCCAGATGTTGCACCATCTATCTGGCCCATCAAGTGTTGCTCGAGTTTTGTCTCTGAACAAAACTTTAGATAAGTCAATCTTCATATTGTCCTCAGCCCATTTCAATCGATTTTGAATGTGATTTCTCATCAATGGAGGCTTCGATACAAGTTTGACTGTTGTTGCTATTTCCCTCAGATACCAACACCAAGTACTTTTAGACACAGTAGGATCCCTAATGCAACTGAAAAGCTCTTGACTGGTAAGTCCAGGGTTCTTCGTGGCCTCTCGTTTAAGTTGTGACATGAGACAACTTGAAATAACCCTCAGCTTGCCTTTATCTGCCCTTTTGCACACTTGTGTAAGGTCGGCTGTGAACTTTTTCATTGTTTGATGGCACCTCCCTATCATTTTAGAAATTTCTAGGGTAGATTTACCTTTTGAGAGTTCTGAGGTGATAGTTTTCTTTTCAGCATCACATAAACTGCTTTTATGGCCCATCTTTTCACTAAATTCTTACACTTTTCTAATAATTTGGCACGCTCAAATCACCATGCTGATAACAAATATGGCGCCATTTTGTTTACATTGCGCAGATCAGTACGAAAATTTCAGTGATTGCGCAGATCAGTGTTGCCAACATTGTATGAAAATTTATAGGAGTAAACTTATAGGAGTAAAATCTAGATGGTACTCCTACAATGATAAACAATTTATTAAAACCTAAGTAACAAGAATATTTGTAGAGGGAGTTATTAAATCAAATGAGTCTACATGGGAAGCACAGGTAATCATAACTTCTTCCGAGAACCACAGAAAGAGGTTAGTAATAGACTACTTGTAGATGATTAATATAGCAATGCACACTCAAATTTTTATTTTTTTAAATTTGATGTATATAAAAGTTAGTGTTGTTATAAAATAAAATAAGACATATCTCGGCTGATTTACAGGCAAATACTCAAGAGCGAGAGCCGGAAATGAACGTGACAAAACCCCGTCACAAAATGACCATTATCTTCATTTACAAATATTCCCGACACATGTGTTCCGGTCGAAAAATAAAATAATATTTAAAGTGCTCTATTTTTCATCCAATAAAAATGCTTCCCTCCTAATTATACTCGCTTCATTTTTCGAGCCTGTTAAGCCATAAAAAAACGCTATAAAAGGGGTCACACGGAAGTTCAACAGGCAGTCACAGGTGGCCAGGGAACAGACCTATCAGGGTCAGGCCACGCGGTCAGCAGCTGTCAGTACCAGAGCATCAACCAGCGTCAACATGTGTGAACTACTATGAGAGATCAACCTAGATCCGAAGCCGGCTTATGAACTTTACCACAAGGTAGCTGTCCCAAACCCACACGTTCCTGTTGAAATAAACCACGTAAATCTATTTCCGCTGTTGTCGTATTTCTTTCTTGCAACCATACGCTTGTCTATAACAGTGTTTTTGAATAGAACTCATTGAAAAAAGAAAAATGCTTTTTGAATTTTTTAAATTCATCAAACAGCTGCCAAGTTATTCAGATTTTTCATCCAGACCAAATTAGGAATTGCTGTACTAGATAAAACTATAGGAAGCCAAAATCAGGATTTTGGGTACTAAAAAAACACATTTGCATAGATAAAATAAATTTTCTCCACTATCACTGATATTTGTGAAAATTCACATAGTAGTAGTTTTCAATATAGGCACTATTCCCGACCACATAGATGTTACAGTCATCTAATATAGCCACCATCTATCCAAGATGGCAGCCCCAAAATTCAGATTTTGTTACTGTACAAAAAGAGCATTTTTAATTAATAGAGGCCACTAAAATCAATAGATAATATCAACTAATTTTAATGGCGGCCATTTTTAATTAAGCAACCATTTTTAATTAAAAAAATCTTGAGATTTGAAAAAAACAGTTAAGTTATATATCAAATAAAAGTTCAGAATAAGTATATCAACATAAGGATCACAATAATTCACTTGAATCAACTTGAAATGAAAAATATTCTAAAAATATATCTTCCAGTAGTGACCAAGTTATAACACAACACAAACAGAAAAAGCAAATAAACCATTGAAATCTCATAAACCCATTTACCTCAATTTAGATCTATAATAATTTTATTGCTTGTTTCCATTTAAAAAAAAAAACTACCAGATTCAGAGAAATGTAAATTTGCAGAAACTTTAATATTATCTCAGAAATATTTTGTTTTAGTTTATAGGAGTGGACTGTTACAAGATAACAGAGAGGCTCTTACAGCAAAGAAATTTTTTTTTTCATGTTTGATTCTTTTGGAGAAGGACATTTGTATATTCCTAGATGAAGGCAATCTACTGTCACATCAACATCACTATCAAATCTGTTATGATTCCTATAGAATAAAATGTTCCATGACATATTTTGATGGTAACTTGGAAATTTGGAGAAATATTGAACAATATTGTCAATAGCCAAGGTCATGGAATTTGTTAAAACCATTTTGAAACTGATTTAGCTCATTAATAAATATTCAATTCAAACTCTTTTGACTACTCCAATTTCACAAACCTTGCTATTCTACAATAGAACATGTTATCTTACCTGGAAATCATTCCTCTCAGAAATATCTTGCTTTGTATGATTGGTACAAGTCATTAACCTTTATCCAATCATCTAGTTTATAGGAATGGGTGTTACAGGATAAGATGAAGAGAGTATCACAGTAAAGACAATTTTTTTTTCATATATCTGACAGTGTTTTGGAGAAGGCCATTTATATATTCCAGTTATCATTCCAGGATGAAGGCAATCCACTGTCACACCATCATCACTAAAATCTGGTATGTTCCATGATATATTTTGTTGGTAACTTGGAAATTTGGTCAAATATTGAACAATTTTGTCAATAAGCCAAGGATTTGTTAAAACGATTTTGAAACTGACTTAGCTCATTAATGAATATTCAATACAGACTCCTTCGACTCTTTTGAAAGACACTTATGCTTGTTCAGAAAATGTTAAAAATAATAAATAAAAAATAAATGGAAATCACCAAATTAATTTAAATAAAAAAAATTTGAAAATTCTTAAAAATTCACAACTTTTTTTCTTCAAGGAAAAATCAGTCAAGTAACTGTGGCTGCTGCTGTATCCAGTAAGTTATTACAGACTGAACACAACCAGTTTTATTATTTTAACACTAACAGTTCATATTTTTTTCGGAATTGACAAAAAAACAAAAAAAGTACACATAAAGTTTATTTTCTTCTCTTTCCAACTATGGAAATATTTCAAAGAATTACTATAAAAAAAAACAACAGTTGAAAAAAAACAACACTTGTCATTGCTTTTCAACACAAGTGCACAGTAATTTAGACGAGTAAGATCCATTAAGAGCAGTAAAAAAGCTGTTAATTAAGCTCCTGCATGCAAAATGTTCCGTAATGGTGGACAGTTGAATGCGACTGAGTCCAAATTTTTATTTTTGATAACTCCAAAACGGTAGAGTTTATCAAAATTTAATTGTTATCTTTGAGTTCAGCATGTAAATTTACATGGAAATATAACGATTTGTAAAATTTTTAATAGATATTTAGCACGGGGTTTAAAAAGCAAATTTACCATTTTTATTTCACTTAGTAGTGAAATAAAAATGGTAAATTTGCTTTTTAATAACTATATTTATTTTATATTTTTGTACTATATTAAAGATATATTTCTATGCTATTAAATGATATAAGTTTGACTGTATTACTATGGTCGACTGCGAAATTATAACAATTTTATTGCAGAAAGTATGCCTCAAAATTGTAATTCCAACGTTTTTGGTTACAAGTGTGCATTGCTAAAAGATTCACCCAGTTGGATGCATACCCACTGCCTTGCATTGACAAGATGTTGAGTGAAATTGCCAAATATCGAGTTTATAGTACTTTTGATCTCTAGAGCATGTACCACCAAGTAGAAATCAAGCCAGAGGATTGACCCCTATACAAGCCTTAGCGATGAATGACCATTTGTACCATTTTCGACAGATTCCATTTGGTGTGACTATAATAGCATGTCGAGTTTTCAAAAAATCATTGACAATATAATAAGCAGAGAAAAATTGAAGGAGGCATTTGCTTAGATAGATAATGTAACAGTCTGTGGACTAAACCAGTCAGACCATGATCACAACCTTAAACGGTTCATAGTGATTGTTAACAAATACAACCATACATTAAATTATGACAAATGTTTCTTTGAGGTGAGAGCTTTCAATTTATTAGGGTACATTGTGAGTGAAGGGAATATGAAGCTAGACACTGAGTGATTAAAACCTCTGCTTAAGCTGCCAGTTTCTGACAACATGCAAGCACTTCAGCAACCTATGAGCATGTTTGTGCATTACTCGCAGTGATTTCTTTTTCAGAGAAAATATGTCCACTGGTACGAGCTAATAGTTTTCCCCCTATCATCTACTACTGTTAAGGTATTTAAAAAAAAAATCAAAAACAACATAGCAAATCCTCAATAGTTGCTAATAGACCCTGCAACCTCACTAGTTGTGGAAACAGATGCATCTGATAGTGCCATTGCTGGTTGCCCCGTTTTATTTATTTATTTTTTTTTTTTCAAGAACCCTGTTAGTCTGAACAGCAGCACTCAGCTGTTAAAAAAGAAGCCTACGCCATTGTAGAGGCATTACCTAATCAGGAACCACTTCATACTTGTAACTGACCAAAAATCAGTTTTGCATTTATGTTTAATTCCAAGTCAAGAAGTAAATTTAAAAACAATGGAAGATTGAGCTATCTTGTTTTTCTTTCAATGTTATATACTGTCCTGGCAAATAAAATGTTGCACTAGATGCATTATCGAGAGTTAACACTATGCCAAGTTCTAACACTAATCTCCAAACACTACATAATGAACTATGCTAGCCAGGCGTAACCAGTATAACAAGCATAGTATGAAACTGGAATTTGCCTTACTCTGTTGAGGAGATCAAGAAGATTATAACATCCTGTACTTATAGATTAAGATTATAACATTCTGCACTGAACACAAGCTACAATTTTATAGGTCAACACTGGGAATCCTTAAAAAAATCCACAACCCTTCAAAGGTTCCCTAGAATCAGAAACAGATTCCTGCTTACTATAATCTATGAATATTCATGATTCCCATTCGCATATCCCTGGCCAAATACATCCACAAACTCTGTAATAAAATGTCTACACTCCTTGTTTGCCCTTTTTGGAGCCCCAGCATATATCCATTCAGACCAAAGAACATTGTTCATGTCAGAACAACTTAGGCAATTTCTCCATGGACAAGGGGTGACTGTAAGTTAGACTACATGTAGGCAGTGCAAAAAAAAATACAATGCCATTCAGTTGGCTGTTGTGAATCAAAAGTGCCCAAGCAAGGGACCTGCAGGGGACCGGGTCAGTGGAATGACTTCATCCCCTACAAATAACCAGTGGAGTAGAATGTTGTATGGATTATCTCTCCTTATACATATTTTGTATTTAAATACAAAATATGTATAAGGAGAGATAAGTCCAGTCAGACACACCCCATTCTAAGTTGAATAAAGTTTCAGATAAGTTATACCTGTGTTTGTTTTCTTACTACACTATAAATCTCCTTTTTTTTTATATATATAATACACAAGCATACTTACACTAATCAAAACTAAGTGAAGGGAAACAAATTATATATAAGAGTTGCTCTTGTAATTAAAAATAGGTAGATGAGATAGAGAATTTATTTTTACATGTTCAACTTGAAAATTTATAAAATTAATTTTTCAATTATTTATTTATTTTTTAGCAATAGAATTTTTTATGTTTTTTATTGCAATTTTACCCAGAATATCTTTGTCAATAAATGACACAATAAATCTGATCCAATGTTTCCTTGTAGGACAAAGTGGCTAATATTTGGTGTTCCCTGAGTGTGCTAATAAAGTTAAAAGAAATTTTCTCTTTACAGTCATTACTTCTTTTATGGTGAGTACAACTTTTCTAAGATTTAAAATAACCTTCTAAAAATCAAATAATCTTAATACAGTACAATATATTTGAACATTCTTAAAACTCCATTACAAGCAATGGGTATTTCTTCTCTCAATTTTATTGATGCAGTTTTGAAAGAAAAATATTCAAACTTTAATTTTCCCTTTTCATAACTTGCTTCAAATGATTTTTATGAAAAAAAAAACAAAACTAAACCAAATGTCATAAAAATCTATTAAACCTTTTTGTAGAAATAGTTTTTGTGGCAGCAATCATCAAAGCAGGTTTGTAAATGTTGTGAAAGCAGTCAAAAACTAGCAGCCAAAGTAGGAACTTTAAAACTTGTATTTACTTGCTTAGTTTTATATTTATGATATTGAAAAATATTAGAAAATATAAAAATCTTGTATTTTTTCAGTATAATTATTTTTATACTGAGCCTGTTTTACACATTTCTGTAATATCAGTATATTTTATGCTGCATCTCTACTGTTTTATTGTTTCCATTTCCTGAAGATGATACTCCTTGACTTCTGAAGTAATTGAAGTAAATTATTACAACTCCAGGGTCAGATTATCAATTATACAATTCAGTCAATATAATAACATAATTTCAGTTACCAAACTTGGAATAAGATAGATTCAATGGTGAAATACCAAAAGAGCCACTGAAGATGATGTTATGAACTCACACAAATATACAACAATATTTTCTTATAGAAGTTGCATTTCTAAGTAAATGAAGAAATATCAAAACAAAATCATTTGAAATGCATTTAAATTATGTAATTCAAGCATCATCAAGTAATTGACATCATGCAATATGTTTTGGGAGTGTGTGTGTTTTAACTTTCAGAGAGGATTTTCTGATCAAATAATCTAATATTTGAAGAGTAAATTCAAACTGGCCAAAGTCTATGCTCTACAGAATATACAAGCAGAAGCAGGTGATGGAAAGTTCATGGCCTTGACTCCCTTCCAAAGTATTAGTATTTCAATGACCAACAACCAGAATACTGATTTTGAAAAATTTTCACTACTTAATCATAAGTGTATTTAACTAAATGACCAAACATCAGAAATTTGTTGTGGAGGGAAAGGGTTTCTTGGTTAAGCTTGGAATTTCTCAGTACCCTTCATATATGTGATGGGGATATATTGGAAAATAATTACTTCAATATATTTCACTAGTGATCTAGCATCATAAGAAAAAGAGATTTTATTACCCAAGAACATATTCTGCTTTAGAAAGATGAAATATAATTCCCATGCAGCATATAAACACTTGATTTTTGCTTTAATTGTATTTTGCTATAGAAATTAGATTTGAATTAATTTCAATTGTTTTTTTTTTAAGTATAGCACATAGGATACTTGAAATAAAAACTGAGTTAAAATGGTCTTATATTTTCTCCATTTCATCAAATTCTCATTCAACTTTACTCATATGTATGTATACATTTTTTTATTATTTATCTTTTCTTATCCCCAGTCTTGTGTGCACAGTCTTTAGTCTTCTTCCAAGTGGCCTTAACCTCATACGAAACCCAACATTTTTAAAGTTTAAGCTTGCTCTGGTAAGCCATATTTTTTTTTATTTTAATATATACTTGGGCAAATTTTACAATTGGATTTTCAGTTAAAAATTTAATCAATTGTTCTGAATATAAATGTAAATGTGTAAATGTTCTATTTCAAATAGAACAAAAGTGATTTTTTCTTTGTGAAAAATTCACACGGAAACCACAACATTTTTGTGGACTACTTGCAGAAAGGAAGTGGTCTCAATAACAATGTGCGTGTCAGAACTTTTGAAACAGAATTCAACTGTAGCAGAATATTTTCTTAAAAAAAAACCTTGAATACACAGAACAACCTGTTGTATTCAATTTGAAATTTTTCTTTTTTTTATTGTTGACAAATTCAATATATTTGATGACAACTCTGACCTTAACAGCTATTTATATCATGTTGGTACATCAGAAATCAGATTTAAATATGGTAGAGGAACAGTTAATCAGTTTATAGTGTATGGGAATTTTCAACATATTGTGTAACTATATTTCTGAGATGAGGTATTGTAACTATTTGCACTATTTACATTGTTTGGACTGTTGTCACATTCACAATGCTTTGGCTGTTGTACACTCCTGTCTTCTTCAGGTGATATTTGTTTGAATCTCTTACTGAACACAGAATAGTCAATCTGTATGTTGGCATTTCTGAAGATTGGTTCAATGACATTTGTGTAGACTTTCTTCCAATGTTTTTTTCCTGAAACATATGACCATCATATTCTTTTATTGAGCGACCCAGGAATGCGAAGGTTATATGTCAGCCCATTTCAGGAAATAAATATGGGAAGAATGTCTACACAAATGTCATTGAACCAATCTTCATATGAACTATTCTGGGTTCAGTTTGAAATTCAAAACAATTGTGAATGTGCCAATAAAGAGGACAACAGCCTGAACAATGTAAATAGTGTAGACATCCCGTGTGTTTAGATATTTTATATAAAAGAAAATTTTAGTTAAAATGCCAAAAGATGCAACTTTCTATCTTACTTTTGAAAAATATAAAAAAATATTTGCATATATAATTCATTATATTTGCTTATAAATAAATTCAACTAATCATGTATTAAAAATTTTCATGTACTCAAGAAATTGACAGATTGTTTAAATTACAAGTAATTATTTAAAACTTGACAATTATTTAATTACTTTATATAAATTTATCTGAATTCATTGATTTAACAAGGAAAATATTTTCTGGGAGAATTTAATTTTAAAATATTTATTCATTTTATTACACAATTACAAGGATGAAATTCTGACTTAAGTTGTCAAACTATATTACATTTAATACTACCAGTGTAAATATAGTATTGTAGTATTATGTTGATTAGAAAATAATGTCTGATCTTAAAATAAAGCTTTTGTGATCTAATATATTAATAGATGCACAAAAATATACTGCTCATTTGTAATAATTAAAGTATCCTCTTTGTTAATTTTATATCAATCTTTTTCAGAATTTAACTTAAAACATTATATACACCCTCATCTTGAACATGAAAAAAGAGATGTTTACTTTTTGTATGAGTTCAAGCTTGGTCATAATGCTTTTCAAATTGATGCCAACATCAGCATGGAGTGAAGGATCCACTTATAATCGGATAGTACAGTGCTGGTTACTGAAATTTCACCATGGGGATTGGGTCTTGAAGATCAAGGTGGTAGATGATGATCCATCTACAATTGGCAATCAACATCTGAAAGCACTAGTAGAACAAAACCTGTGTCATAGAAATGTCACAGATAATGGGAGTCAGTACTTCAACATTGTCAGACTACCACAAGAAAATTGGCAAGATGAAGAATCTCAATAAATAGGTTCTATATAAATTCAGTGAAAGTCAAAGAGTTTAAACATTTTGAAGTGTGTTTGATGCTTCATCTGTGAAATTCAAATGATTCACTTCTTGATTGAACAGTGACTTTTGATGAGAAATAGATGCATTTTAACAATTGTAGATGATCAGCTCAATGGCTTGATCATGACAAAGCCCTCAAACTTTCCAAAACCAAAATTGTACCAACAGAAGATTATGGTAACTGTCTGGTGGTCCGCCATTGGTGTTGTCCATGACAGCTTTCTGGAATCTAACCAGTTAATGAACAAGGTGCAATTCTACTTTATGACAATGTTTGGCCACATGTTGCTTACTGACTTGGGATACAAGACTGTCAAATTCATCATACTCTCCTGATCCCTTGCCCACTGACTACCACTTTTTCAAGCATCTTGACAATTTTTTTTAAGCCAAAAGACATTCTATTGCAAAGATACAGAAAATGTATTCAAAAATTTCTTGGTGTTGAAATTTTTAGTATTATCATAAAAGTATAATGTTATAACTCAATAGCAGAAATGTATAAATGTTCAGGGTTCCTGTTTTGACTGCTTTAAACAATTCAGGAATAAAAGTTGGTTCTAAAAAAAAGTAAAGATTATAGCCATTTGGTTAATTTAAACTGCTGCTAATAAGTAAATAAGTAAGATATTGAGATGGTAAAACAGGCTTACAAGGATCAGGGATATGAATTGAAATTTTACTAGAAGCTTATTTATTATTTTCAATCCATTTTGCTGATGACAAATGTTAAAACAACCTGAGAATTGTAATAAAATGTAACAAAATAAGATGAAAGTCTAATAAAACATTTATAATAATGATAATGCTTCATTTAAGAAATTTGGACAACTTACAACTTGAATATAATTAATGGCATTTTAAATATGGTCATTCCTTTTTCTTTAAAGGCAAATTCTTCTCTTGTGTTCTTCCTGCTGTCATTTCAAGTTCATGAAAAATCAATTCTCCTTGCAGCTCTGTGAGTATTTTCATCATATTCAAATGACTAATCATGAACTAAAACTACATTTGATGTATATAAAGATAATTTATATTGAGATAAAAATCTTAAAAACAGTGGAAGGAAAATCTTTGTTGATTTTAAGATGATCAAATTATTAAGTGGAGGCTATATGTCTGATATATTTATTTAGATGATGGACTTTATTAAACCTGAAGTAGGAATATGCATAATAAGAGTAAGAAAATGTCCCATTGTGACATATCTAGAAATTTGAATAAAAGATTATAGGAACATAAAATGGATCTTTTGTAAAACAATATCCCCAATGCATTAGTTGTCCATCATAATAGGGCTGCTGGCTATAATTTTAACTTCAAAAATGTGGTTCTGACTAAAACAGAAAGAAATTTATTAAGACAAAAATATATTGAAAGTGTGGTTATTTCAGAATCCTCTCTGGTAAGGTTGCAACATATCTCATTTCCTCATCAAATTACTATTAATACTGTTGTGTCGGAAACCTATCACCCCTCTTGAAGATGAACTTGTCAGCAAACAAAGACTTTAAATAGTGGCATGTCAGTTGACATGGGAAAAGACCGATAGACAGAGAAGTTCTTAGCTGAGCTAGTTATTGACTACTCAGGCGATTTCTGTACCTTTTTACCAACCTATTAAAACCCTTTTATTGTTACGTGTTATTTGGCGTTTGTCTCTACTAACCCCAAATCAACATCATAACAAATACAATGTGAAATAGTTAAAAGCAACAACAGTAAAAATGAAAATAAGTGATAAAAAGCTAAATGAGATAAGTTCAATGTTTAGTGACATTGGGTGTCAAATATGTTGTTGTTTAATAGATTGGTGAATTGATGCAGATTTAGAACCAGCTATGAATGTGGCTAGATAACAAATGTATATCTTATCCAAATGGGATGATGAGACATCAGTGTATTTGGTTAAACAAGATGTCTGCATCGGAATTGCCTAAACCCAATCATCATATATAGGCTTTGTTGGAGTTGCTGCTTCTGTTCTGAGAGCAGTAGTTGTATGATATTATTCAACATAAAACAGAGATGGAGAACATGTGGTTCTTAGAGACTGTTAAGGTATTGTATTTACTATTGATAATATTTTATATTATTTTAGTCTGGAATAAATACTTAACTCTCATATATATTCACTGACTTTTCTCATCTTGTTATAAACTTTGTTACTTCTGAAAGATTGGAATATAGAAGCACAAAATATTTTTTCATATAGGATATTAGTCAATAAGATTAAACCAAGAAGCCTGGTTTATTAATATGTAACAATGAAAAATAATGGAGGAAGAAGTCAACTAATCAAGAAAAGCTTCATTTACTCTGACTGCAACTTAACACATCCTACTTATAAATTTTCTGAACAAGCTGCATATTTAAATGAGCCATCTATAGTTACTTCAAATGGCTCATTCAAAGAGAAAAATATGAAGTTTCAATTAAATATTTTAAAGCAGAATGATTTAATTATCCAATTAGACTAACATCCATTATAGGTGACTATAATGATTAAGTTTGCATTTTGCTAGCATTTTCAGAAACCTTCAAATACTTATTTTTTTACATTAAGATTCACCATATACAAGGCCTGGTGGCCACTCGAAGTAGAGTGTTACATTAAGGAGTAGTTTATATGGATAGGAGGGGGAAGATAACGGTTGACTCTTGACTTGAACTGGTTAAGATTATAGTGATTTGGGAAACCTCCTTGATAGTCTGTACCACAGGGCAATGATTCGCAGGAAGAAGCTGTTTGAATTTAATTTACTTCTCACTGATTGAATATGGAGGGAATGTGGGTGGTTTGCTACAATGTAAATGGCATGGCAGGTCCTAGCTGTGATGGTCAAACCTGGTGGAACTAGGAGATACAATTTATCTGAGCACTTTCCATGCTCATAGTGATAGAGCAGTGAGAGATTGCCACATCACCTGTGAGAGAGAGAAACTGGAGGATGGAAAATAATTCTTCTCCAACAAGGACTCGGAGATGCTTTTGAACTCGATCAAGACTGGAAAGTGAGGACAGGTCAGCTCCCACCCAAATATGACAACAGTGCTCCATTTTGGACCTGATCTTGCTCTCATAAAGGTAGAGGATAAAATGTGAAGTGAGGTACTTACAGGGAGTTGATCATTTTACCTGCATCTTTAGCAATGACTTGTATATAAGAGTTACATGAGGTCAAGTGTGAGTGAGGCTCAATATTCTCTCAAGGCATGGAGTCCCCTCAAGGGGTCAACTGTTCATCATGACTGGCGGTAGTTTGGGTTCAGATCAGCGGTGAGATTTTCGAGCCATTGAATGTAACCAGCCTTTTTTTCCCCACTCGGAAGTTAGAGGTCAGCTGCCAATTTCTGATTATCATGGGTTTTAGAGGTGCACCTGTATATCATATCATCGGCATAGATGTTTACAAATGATTATAGTATATTCTTAGGCCGATCAGAAAGAGAGTTGGTTCAAGAAGTGTCCCCTGGGGGATGCCTACATTGACTGCCAGGGCTCTGGAGGACTGGCCATTAATAACTACCTTCAGGGATCTATCTGTTAGAAAAGACTTATAATTGAGAAAACCCTTCCAATATTCCATAGCTGGAAAGCTTGTGTAGGAAACCTTTGTGCTATGCCTTGTTGAAGGCCTTCGAGATATCTAATGCTATAGTCCTTGAGGTGTGTGAGTCATCAAGGGCCTTACTAAGTCTGTATGTAATGGTGGTTAGGACACCAACAGTGGATCAGGCTGATTGAAACCCATACTGTTCGTTGGACAAGAGGTTGTTCCTATCTAGGTGCTCGACAAACTTCTTGTTGATTAAAGCCTCCAAAAGCTTACTGATGATACTGAGGAGACTAATCACTTGTCCGCTTTCTTGAAGACTGAGCATACACTTGCCTCCTTCCACAGGCTTGGGAAAGATTTCTCCTTTAAGCAACAGTTAAATAACTTTGCTAGAATCAGGGATAATTCTGGGTTAATATTCTTAAGGATGACCACTGGAATTTTGTCAGTGGCTTTGTTTGAGGCAAGACTTTTAATAAATCTAGAGACTCTCTTACTGAAATGAGTGTATTACTGAGAGTGTGCTCAATGAGATGTGGGAAGTTGGGAAGGAGATAACCTTTGTCATGTAACGTTGAGTTTGAGGCAAAGATCGAGGGGAAAGCTTTGCCTTGTCTGTTGATGATATGACCTCAGGCCCATTTATAATAGTGGGCAGAGCTGCTTTGCCTCTTTAGCCATAATTTAGTTGGTGATCTACCAGAATTCATGAGATTCAATTTGTTTCTTTTAACCTTGGCTTGGACAGCTTGTGCATAGCTGCATTTGGCATTTTTCAGAACTCTCTTACAGTGATTGCAGGTGTTTCTGAAAGAAGTAAGGGTCAGACTACATTGATATATATGTGAATATTGTTTTTGTTTTTTTTAATTCTTCTTGAATTAAATTCAATTTAACAAAGTACATTAAATTTGCTGTTATTTCTGTTGCATGAATGATGAGATTCTCTTTTGTAAATTATCATTTCGTAATATTTTGCCATGTTGGTGACATTTTTTTTCTTTGGATTTAAAACTTTTCTCCAAATGTTTTTCACTTGATTGTAAATTTCACCAAAGTTTATAATGCAACTTATCATTTCAGCCCTGTCTGTTTACTTTTGCCTGATTATCCTTTTGTTTCTTTCTGGTTTCTTATGATTTCTACATTCAGGTAAAAGTTAATATTTTTTTTTTACTTTTTCCAATATTAGTCTTAAGCTAATTATAAGATGATCAACTTTAAAATGTCTTTTAATTACAATCACTTTAATTTTAATTCTTTTAATCACTATCATTTTAATTAGTATTTCACATATATGGTCATATTTGCCATTTTACTAACTTCTTGTATATTCTTGGCTCAATGTAATTAATACAATGGTAATTGTTTGCAACCTAAAATATGGAATCTGCTGGTATAAGCAGCGAAAGTAATGAGTGAAAATACTTCCAAGTTGTTTTGATATTACTGGAAAATATTGGAAAATTACCTAAAAAAATGTTCTGACAAATGGTAATATTTGATTATTACAATAAAATCTTTGATTATTTTTTAAAAAATTTATTAGTTTAATTATTATAATAATAAATTTAATGTCATTTTTCAGCATGTTCCCATTATTTGTGAAGGATGACTTGGTATTACATTATTTTAGCACATTGCTATTGTTTTATGTTGTGGTGGGCATTACTTTTAATTTAACTCCCAACCAACCATCCAAAAATCAATTTTTGCCCTGGATTTATCCTCTGTTACCCTATATGGTAAGTTTTATTTCATTTCTAATCAAATTCAGGCTTAAAAATATGAGAGCTTCTGATATTATTAAGAAAATGAATTAATGGAAAATTAATAACTACAAACCTTCAGGAGTTATAGCCAAACACTTCCAACCATATGGTCTTCCATAGACATCATCTGTTACTGCTATAATGTTGTAGGCTTTTGCTTCTGTTTAAAATATCTAATTCTTATGTTGGCTTAAAATAAAATTTCTAAAATGGAGCAAATGGTCAACATTTATAAATCTTAACTTTGTATGGCACAAAACCAATTGGAGGAAAATAGAGGTCGGAATATAGTGTGGAGAGAGAATCTAGAGAATGAACATTTGAGGAACTTGAATATTTACTTCTAGCACCAAGATGGGAAATACATAACTAACTTGACCACAAAATGAAAGAATTATCTTTTTGTTATTTATAAATAAAAGTTGTAGATAACAATTTTTTGTTAAACACAATTTAAGAGCCAGGAAATAAGAGAGAGATTATCAAGTGGAAAAATTAAGAACTTAATTGTATGTTTAATGCAGTGATACATTTTGGGAGATTTAATATTTTTTGCTAAATATGAAATACTTAAAAATTATTTTCAATCTAAAATCTGATATTTTATAAGCTTCATTGGCAAAGCTAAGTATTTAAATTGGTTTTAATATAAATATTTTATAAAACTTTCTGTAATCATTGTAGTTGTACAAATGGTAGCACAAATATGCCATATTTCTGCTCTTATGTTTAAGGCTTAAAAGATTTCTAAACTTCATACAGATTTGAAAAGATTAAATATTTCAGAAAGTAACTTCAAACTGTGTGTGTGTGTGTTTTTTTTGTTCTATTTTTATGTTTTGTTTTAAAGAAAAACTGTCTTTCTATTCAGACCAGCTTGCTCATCTTGGTAGTTATACTCCTGTTTAAATCACTCTCTGCTTGATAATGTTCTTGAATTTTGGAACCGAACCCTTTATTCAATACACAAGTGTAGACAGTTCTCATTCTTAAGAATTATCTGATATCATCACCTGAGGCAAGTCACCTATACAGTTGCACTACCTGAATGTAGTCATTAGGTTTAAGGCTACAGAATTTCACCACCAGATTGTCCAAGAGACAATAATCCTCGTGGATTAAAATGTTGTTTGAAACATATTTTGTTCCTTGACAGTTCCTGGTTTATATATTCTGGTTCAGTGAAACAAATAATACAAAAGTGAATGAGACCTAAACCTAGACAGTAGAATGAGAACAATCTATTACCATGGATTGAAAAATTTCTGTTTAAAATTTCCAGAAGATAACCAACTATGACAAAAACCAGAAGAAAGCTGGAAGGTGCAATTACCAAAATGTTGTTCACCTGAAAAAGAAATGATTATTATTTTTTCTCATATCAAAACTTTCAACAGGAAAAATAATTTCTCAGTTAGGGCTTTGTAATTATTATTTTATTTTTTTTAGAAAGTCTATTATTTCTTAAACTGAATCTATCTTATTTAGAGATTAAAAATCTTACAATTTATTTAATTTTTTTGTTAAATTTTGGATAATGTTTTCCAAGCTTGAAGATTACTTACATTTATGTAACATCTTGCCTATGATTCCAAATTTTTTCATATTTTAATCTATCATTAATTTAATGATTTAAACACTTGTCATGGATTTAACAATAGAATCCTATTCAACCAAATCAGACTCATAATTATATTTATTTATATTCAAATATTGTGTATAAAGTTTCTTTTTCTTTCTCTTATTTTCAGCTTGTCCTGTCATTGGCTGGTTGCTTGCTTCTTAATGTGGCTAGCTTAGTGGTCATTCCCCCTCCAGACAAACCTGACCTCTTCTCTGTACTGATTGCTATCTATTCCTGCATTCATTTTGTGTTATTCCTAACCTACTTTAATTATGTCCAATTTACAGTCAATTCACACACTGGTAAGTCCAGCAGTGAAAAGTCTTCACAGCAAACAAGTCCAAAAAAGTCAATTCAAATACCTGCTAACAATAACAGAAAAATCAAAAAACAATGACTTTAGAAAAATAGAATAAAAAAAACTATTTTTTATTTTGATTTTGCATTTGAATTTATATGAAAATCAAATTAAAATTATTTTGAAATTTTCTGTATTCTTTTTATTTATATATTTTTAGTAAATTTTCTTTCACACTGTGTAATCTTTGAGGAAATTTCCTGTTTTGGAAAGTTATGTTATCTCAATTTCCTTTTAGCTGTTGGTGTTAATTTTAAGTGTGATGACATGCTCCACTTGTCCATCATTTACTGCACCTGTGATGATATCCAAGGTCAGTTGCATGAGTATACACCTGGTTAACAATGTTCACACGGTTGTGTACTTGGCCCTGATCAAATTCAACAGAGAATATCAACAATTGCTTTTCAAGACACTGGTTGGTAAATAGCAACAATACAATTTCTCACTTCTTTATTCAGCTGGTTGAGATGAATTAATCTTACTAACTTCTGGGCATGGAAAGTGGACTCTTACATTCACTGAGTAACTAGGCGACTGCTGATTTCTCATTGCCGGTTCATTCCTCATTGACTTACCCCTGACTTCCTGCCTCTCTCTTCTTATTTTGATACTGGCTGGGGTCCCACCACCCCTATCTATCCCTTTGTGTTTCAGAACAAAAGACCACCCATTCTGCTTTTTTGGCTGGTCAGCTTCTTTAAAAGACTACTGTTATGATTATCTAAAATCGTTGACAAAATTTTATGTTTGCCAATTCAAATGCGGGCTGGAAACCGGAATCCTGAAAACTCAAGCAATTAAATTGACTCAAAGATGGACTGGAGACAAAATTCCTCAGAAACTCTGATAATTAAGTTGGCTTAAGTAGATGAATTCCTTTTCCTTTTATCTCTTAAGGATGTCATTTATTATATAAATTACAATAACAAAACTACAGAACCATCAATAAAAACAATTTAAAAAAATAAAACAAAGCAATTAAGTACAATAGCAATATTTTATGTTCAACTCAAAACATTGGAATTCTACATAGTCCCACAAAAAAAAACATGCAGATGGACCCCCATCCACCTCTGAAGGTAGTTCAACCCAAAGAGGGATAAATTCTGGACAGGCTGCAGCCTTCTGAAACATCGTAATATATCAGAAGGTGGTTAGTAGCCCTTCCTCTTCTGTTCAAGCCATCACAAGAGGATTTCAAATACCTCTTGAAAAATGTCACATTTTTGGAAGCGTCACTTTCCAGAACCTTCCAAAGAGAAAAATAATGCCAAAAAGCAACAAGGGGATTTTAACCACTGTGTCAAGTAACTTTAATAACTGGAAGTGTTATTTCTACCAACCTTCCAAAATGCACAATCATCTCTTCAAGTCTTTCCCATTTCATAATGCTCCATCCTGACAAAAAAATGACATTTTAGCATACCACAGAAGTGAAAACCAGTTTTACCCTCTCATCAAAACAAAAAACCAGGGGAAATGGGGAGTGCCATCACATGACCTTTGTCATAAAATAAGATACAATAAGTCCCATGTCTCAGTGCACAATGATTACATTTCTTGCTTTTTTTTTTTTAACACACTAAGAATATTCACATAAAAAAGGAAACAGTGTTTATCACAAGTCGCAACAATTTGCAACAGAACTATAAAAAAAAATATGACTATTAAAAAAAATCTCATCAAAATGTGTGTGGGTATAAACAACAATGTTCATCTTGAGTCTGCTGGTGGATTCCTGTATCATATAAAATCATCAAGGGTGAAAATTTCATTTTTTTTTTTTTTTTTTTTAAAAAAAAAATTTCACATTATCCTTTTCTCCAGAAATCCAAAATGTGGAATAGATAGCTACATATGTCTTTCCTTTGTTTCTTTTCTGTTCTTTTCATTCCACACGTATAGTCACCAATCTGTCTGACTCCTGGGGTGCCACGCAGTCCATTAATCTCCTCTCCTCACCCTCACGTTCTCTCATCAACTCATTTTGTACCCAACATCTCCCATAACCTGCTAAAACAATCACTAGCACTATGATAACTATATTTCTACCTAGTGATAACCAAACTATAATATTTGCTGTTGTGGAGTGATTTCTGCCCATCATCACTAAATTATCTACTAATTAATATAAATCTATTGGTTTTAGTAATTAGGGTAATTTGCATACAGTTATAATTGTTTTCCTTATTAGGGGTTCCCAAAGCCCTGTATACTTGCTAGTCAAAACATCTACCAAGGCTAGAAAGAAGTCCTGGGTTTCAAATTTTTTCTATGGCGGAGCAACCCATCTGAAGTTTGATGATGGCCCGGAGTATGGTAGCTCTTACAGTCACTGTCAGTTTTCCTATGCATACTCCTAATAAGTCCAGTTCCCAGTCTATAGCCTGTACATTCCTAATTTGTTTAACCCTTCTAGGTAACCTTTACTAATTATCCACTTTGATTTGATGATTATCACTATGATAGATTTCAACCCACTGGCAGGGATTATGAGGACAAATAGCAACAAGTCCCTCATACTGAGTGTCATCGTCACTATAAACATGACCTGTTGAAAAATTCCAGGTGCATCGACCAATCTGAAAGGCATAACCCTGAATTGGTACAACCCAACATGACAGGTAAATTCAGCCTTCTCACTTTGTAGAGGACTACTTGCCAGTAGCCAGACCTCAAATCAAGGTGGGGAAAATTAGCTGACTTCCCCAGTAATGCCAATGTTATCTATTAAGGTTAGAGGTTAGGCTAGTGGGTTGATTATTTTATTTTGAACTCTCCACAATGATGTGGTGAGCATTCTATTATTCCTGTTTCCAGCATATCTCCAACTGCCCTTTGGATGAGTTTATGCTTATGCAGTGGAGTTCAGTATAGCTTTATAGGCAGGTAGCTATCTGTGTCTATCCTCATCTCTACTGTTTTTGTTTGGCCCAATTCACCATCTGTGTGAGCTTTCACATCTCTATTGTCCCTAATAGAATGCAGGATAGTCCTTTTGTATGTATATGGAGCTTATATCTCCTCCTCTCTAATTATTGAATTCTTATATTTACTTTTACTATCTTCTACACATTCTACCTCCCCCTTGGTAATAGCTTGTATAGCCTCTCCTACTTCCCTTGTGAACCCTTATAGTAGTACTACTGGCCATTACTGGGATTCAACCCGTATCATAATCTTCCGCAAGAGACTCTGTTTAAGCTAATTCTCCCTCTCCAAAACGAGGTTCATCCATTTGAGCAACCTGATATGTTTTCCTTCCACCTAAGAGTATTTCTCTTTTCCCTATCTTTAGCAGTGGAAGTGCTGGATTGAGGCTTATCTGCACTTAATTACTTTGAAGCCAATCAGGGCTCTACTCAGGATGCATTTGCTACCACATGATTGCTCTTCCCACCTCTACAGGAAGGAGTACTAATCCTAATACCTTTATTTTTTCCATCTGCCTGAAATATTTTTTGCTTTGTAATATCTAGCTTGATTTTCCTAAATCCTAGCTGAAAATATTCTCTAGCTCTAATCATCAACATGTATCCATTAATACCATTATTTCCTTTCCCCCACTATTGCTTTATATGTTAAATTGGATTCCTGATCAAACAGAGTACAGTCCTTCCTTTGATGACCCCACTATCCACCTCCCAACAAGCCATTTGTCTGGGATCTAGGTGAAGTTTCTGTTTATTCCTCTCAGGTGTGTGACTCCTTTTACTACTGTTAGATTAACAATGGCTCCACTATTCCCTTCCATTGAGACTTGGTCTCTTTCTTTCTCTAATGGTCCATCTTATCCCATCTCATGCATGTACATTTGGGAAGACTCTGATCTCTCTATGACTTTTTGTGCCATTGTAAATGCCTCTGCAAGTCTTCTGAGGGCTGCTCTTGCTCTATCAGTCCTCAGAAATGTGTTTTAATCACTTCTGTATTATATTCTGATGGTTGTTTGGACGGCTTCTCCGTCTCACTGCACAACATCCTTAAAAGCTATTTTGGGCAAGTTTAGCACTCTGTTAGCTAGTTCTCTGGCAGCATTAGCTGTACTTATGTATTCTGCATATTGGGTTGTTAGCTGTTGCAAGAGGTCAGTTGCTTCAGGATTGTTGTCGGAGACAGTACCATCAGAATAATCATGAGGTAAGTTGACAATTTCTGCCGACATTAGATTATCTATTCTGGCTTTCTGTTTCTATCCAAGCCTGAAATTCCAAATGCTTTCCCACTGTCTACTAATCTATCCATTGTTTTGGTCTGATGAAGTGAAACTGAAATATTGGTTTCATGAAATAAAATATTACCATGGGTTCCTAAAGTCTCCACTTTCTTAATTATCATTGCTCTGTTCTTACATTGAACTCTCTCTGGATCTCTATCTTCTTTGGAATTATCCATATGGATTACCAAATAATTTTATCATTATATATATATATATATATATATATATATATATATATATATATATAGGTTGGGTTTTAATCCCGGCTTGAAGCAATCACATGTCTAGTCACAATGATGAGCTGTGAAACAGTTTGTCTGTGAATGACTATATATATATATATATATATATATATAAAAATTAAACACTGAAAAAAATATTACTATCATTAACAGAAAAAATACCACAAAAATTCTGAATTAAAAAAAATGTCACTGAACAAAATGAAAAAATAAAAACGCGGTTGACAAGATTAGTGAGAAGCAGGTGGAGATAAAAAAAATCTCTTACCTCTATTAATCATTTTGTTTTCTTTAACTGTATTTGTCTGCTTTCCCCTTCTTTCTCTCCTTAGTATGTGTGAACAAAAAAAAAAAAAAACATGTTCCCTCTTCCATTTTTTTTTTTTTTTCAACAATTTATTTTTATTTGCAGAAGCTCTACTCTTCTTTTTTTCACATTATTACTTTTCAACAGTTCACTTTTGCGTCTTTTCTTCTCTACTTCCAAGTTGTGTTTGCTTCTTTCCTTTATTTTTAGTTCTTTTTTTTTTTTTCTTATTTCTAGACACTGGTTGGGAAATAGCAACAATACTATT